TAGGATTCTTTGTCACGTCTATTTAAAACCTCAAGCATCCTTGTATACTCAATCTCACTATCTCTTCGTTCCTTTAATGTAACCAAGGAGATAAATACGAACAATTCTTGGGTTCACCCCTTCTAGTTTTAACCAATCATTATGCCATGTCATATGACATTTTTTAAAAAATTAAAAATTAAACAAACAAATATAATAAATTAAAAAAAAAATCATCAACAATAAAATCAATTTAAGAACTTAACGGAGTCGTCTTCTTTTCTTTTTAGGTTTTACAAACTATTCGGTGGCCATTGTTATGTTAACTTGTTTTGAATAACTGAGTCTTAACTTATTCATCCTCTTTTGTGGTATTAGAACCTTCAAATTCTGGAATTGTTCCATCTGCAACGTGCGTTACACAATTAATATTTTTCTAAACTTTGGGAAGGTATATTCTACATCCAGAAAACTAACGCTCTTGTATCTGTAATAAGAATTTTAATTTGAAAATTTAGGATCATGTGAATGCAATCAATTTGTATAGGATTATGTATGTTTTTGTTTGGGGTTTGGAATTTTCTTGTCTTAGTCTAGTCTCGTAATTTTGTTTCGGGTTTGTAAATTTAGGATCATGTGTCTAGTCTCGTGAAAATCACATACATATTGTAAGTGCATATAATAATCTTCTTTCTTCTTTCCCATTATTTTCTTCCAAGCTTGTCTTGCCTAGTTTGTTGTCGTATGAAAGAGAAATTGAAACTCCAATCAATAGTACTAGTAAATAATACTCCTACTAACATAAAAGAAAGAAGGCACTTTTATGTGCTGCCGGGAAAGTTGCTGAGAAGCAAATATAAAAAGTTCAAATTGATGACTATATGCTTATACCAATGGCTAAAATTGACGATAAAAGATCACAAACAAACTCAAATATATGTATTCTCGTTTTTACAAAAACACAATCCGACATTTCAAGTAGAAGAGACGGTCTTGAAGGAGTCGCGAAGGTGGGTTAATGTATCGTGGTCGTAAATAGACGTAGAGCTTGTTCTTGGTGCAAGTGACTGTGATCAGGCTGTGCTTTCCAACTCCATCGATACATATAGTAGATCTTCCCTGTCTCCTCATTCCTCTTCTCCGACACCACTTTGTCGGTGCCGGCTATCAAATCATGCAGCTCCACGTCTGACAAGGCCGTGTTGTTCAGAATCACATCCCTCGGCGCCGGCTATCAAATCCTTCTCCGTCTTCTTCTTCGGGTTGTAGAAATCACATGTTTCTAATTAAAACCTAAAAAGAAAAGACGACGACTCCGTTTAGTTCTTCAATTGATTTTTTTGTTAATGATTTTATTTTTATAATTTGGTTTATTTGGTTGACAAAAAGAAATTATTTTATTTATTTATTTAATTTAACTTATTTTTAAGTTTTATATGACATGGCATAATGATTGACTAAAAGTAAAAGGTCTGAATACATGGTTCAATAAATACTAAGATACAAATTTTTAAAAAAAAAAAAAAATTTAATCGACACCGATCGGTTGTCTTGAAGTCACTGTTGACTATAAGACCAATCCTCTTCTCTGAATCACATGTTTCATTCTCTTCACATTCTCTCTCGTTCCAAACTAATGTTACTTTAAAAACCCAATCTTTAACTACTTCATTCTCCATTTCTATCATACAATTTTCTTGTTTCTCTCTTAACTTCATACGATAACTTATGGGAGTTTCCGGCAAGACTCACCACCAGTTTGATGGAAAATTTGGCGAAACTGTCGAAGGAAAGAAATGGGTCATCACAGGAATCTCCTTACGTTCTCCGAAGAAGCCGATTAGCTTCCCCTCCTCAGCCGTAGCTGACACGGAAGACGAAGATCTTTGTCCAACGACTCCAACGGCTGCTTCCGTTAGAATACCGACGGTGTTTCCATGTCCTCCGGCGCCTAAGAAACGGAAACCGTCATTGAAGTTTAGCTATGACGGCGCTAGAGAGTTCTTTTCTCCACCAGATCTCGAGACCGTCTTCATATACAGAACTACTTAATTCTGATTATATATAATTTCTACTCTCTCTAATCTTTTTAGGTTTTCCTTTAAAAAAAATAGTTTCATAAATTTCTAAATTATTTCTTCATTAATACTTTAGCTTCTTACTTTTAACTTTTAAGTGTTTTTCACACTAAAATGGTCGTAATAAAAGATGTATCTGTCTTTTTGTTTGTTACTTTTCATTTTCTTTTGCTGTGCCTGTTACCATGCTATTAAAATATTTTTTTCTCAACAAATTATAAGTAGTTTTCTGGTGAGGGTGAAAATCAAGAGTCTCTGTTCCAAGAAAATATCTACATTATCGAAACTGTAAGATGATTACAAGAATCTATGTGTACTTTTAGGCTTCATATTCTCCTCCTTTTACTCCGAATGTTTGTCTACCGTGAAGTTTTGCTAGTAGAAGACTCAACGATGAAAAAGAAAAAAAAAAAACTCAACGATGAAGATTTGACATGTAACTAATTCCATCATGATCGAATCATTGCACCATAGGTCAAAATAGAGTTGTTTGATAATCTCAGATCGACTATATACAAGTTGGAGAACCTAGTCTAATATATTAATAATATAGAAAATTTACTATTGCCAATTTACATATATGGATTTACTGGTATAGTTAGCAGAGCCTTAATTTTAAAAATATGCTGAATATATTACTCTCTCTATATCATTTTAAGTGATGTTTAAAGTTTTGCACACAAATTAAGAAATATATAACTTATATTCAATTTATATCCCTTTTTACATAATTACATCATCAAGTAAACTGAATTAAACTAATAAAAAAAACATACTGCAAAATAATTAATTAGTCAAAATAAAAGTTTAAAACATCTTAAAATGAAAAAAAAATTAATCACTTAAAATGATATGGAGAGAGTATATATATAATACAAAAACTTACCTCCCTATTTATGATAGAATCCAAATCAGTACTCCACACTACTGCATGTTCATGCATAGCAACTGAGAAAGTACACCTCATGACCTCAATATCGAAAAAGCCTTAGCGTCAACTGTCAACTTGTACTTTTAACCCAAAACGTACCATAACTTGTTTTGCCCTATTTAAATAACAAACAATCAACCCAACAGTATTCCAAAACTTTCAATTAATTGAAGAATTTTGACCGTTATTTTATATACAAAATCTTCCCCATTAAAATATTAACAAGTTGTGTTTGATTGAGGACAAATATTTTTTGAAGGAGATCGTTGGATCTAGACAGTTCGATTGTTACATGTTTAATATAAAACTTAATTTAATAGATTCAAAATAAGGTATATTGAATTTCACCAACGTTGTGTTGGCCCAGTGATCTTCCAGTTAGAGGTACTGGGTTCGACGTCCGTTGGGAGAGATCTCTTCTCCGAAGCAGATGAATTTAACCTGGTGTGGGTTCCGCCTTTGGGAGATGTAGGATTTTTGGGGTTGAACTTCCAGATATTAAAAAAAAATAAAGAATTTCATGTTATGTTTTTTTTTTTATTGTTTAAGTAGATATTGATTTAAGTTGATTTTCTTGTCTACTAGATTGAAGTTGTGAACGCGACAATTAACTAATACTGAACTTCTTAAATGATATATATAGGGGTTCGTTTTGCTAAAATAGTACTTAAGAAAATTTCCTAAACTTTTTTGGTTGCTACCACAGAATTATTGGTTAGAAACTTTCACGTGCCTTCTATGGTTTTGGAAGCAGAAACTAACAGTTTGGGCAGAGAAAGGGTTTAATTTGCTGACTGCATTATCAAAATGGACTTGGCTAAAGTTGTGGCAGAATTAATGGATTCAGAGGAGTGCCCATTTCTTGAAGTTTTATTGCATGAGATCCGACATTTTCACAAGCCATTTGGCTTCAAGACTTGCTTAGTGAAGTAAATGGCGTAACATGCAAGAAAGCTCTTATTCGCATAGACAACAAGTCAGCCATCGCCCTCACCAAGAATCCAGTATTTCACGGACGAAGCAAACACATACATACACGTTACCATTTCATAAGAGAGTGTGTTGAGGATGGATTAGTTGAAGTAGAACATGTTCCCGGTGAAGAACAAAAGGCGGACATTTAGACAAAAGCTTTAGGAAGGATCAAGTTCAAAGAGATGAGAGATCTCATTGGTGTTCAAGACTTGGAGAAGTTCGAATTCAAGCTTAAGAGGGAGATTGTTGGTTTAAGCTTGAAGAGTGATAAACCGGAAGAGACTTGAACCGCAAGTTATCGGTTCAATGAGAAGATAAAGGCTAATCTTTAGGAGTTATCTAGAAGATTCTTAAGTAGTCCTAATCGAGTTATGATTAGGTTAAGTGTTGTGCCTATATAAGCATATATCGAGTTGTGATATAGCTTATGAGATTTGAGTTGAGAGATTAAGGTTTTGAGTTAGTTTCCTTAATAAAGAGAGTTATTCATATCTTTGGTTCTTGATTCATATCTTAGAAACAATAGATATTGCCCAAATACTAAACTGAATCGCACTCTCTGACTTTAGAACACTCGCTTGCAAAAATGTGAAAACTAAAGTACACAACACAGTACAATGCTAATTAAACGAGTTCATAAATCACTAATGATGACTACCTACTGGCTGTCTTGCCAAGATTGTTCTTGGAATCCACTATGTTTCATGATAGACAATACTCTGTAATAAAACCAAAGCACTCTAGAGGTCATTGAAATCTCTACACAATTTTGATGACAACCAAATTCATCACCCAAACTTCTAAGTCAAGTGGTTATTTTCACTTCCTCATTTATAATAGAGCCATGACCCTAACTATATAGGTATTGGGGAATGCTACAAGATTTTGAAACCTAGACTTTTATCTCGATATGTTTTCTCAATAGCTAAGAATGCAAATCCAATAATTGATCTATGTATTGGGAGAACCGGAGATGGACGGTCGAGATTATCGCCCAAAATTATGTAAATTATGAAGATCGAGAAGGATGTAGAAGTTATGATATATTAAGTTTAAGAAGTTTAACATCATCTCTATATAAGAGAATGTAATTTATACCTTTAATCTTATGAGAGTCTATTCTAATTTTTCCTAAACATTTTTGTGTTCTTTACTCTCATCAATTTGATTTTGGCATCAAATAATGTCGGAAAACGACAACATTTTAGAAGCAGCAGCAGCAGATTGAGCCTTCTCACTTTCAAGTTCAACTCTGAGATCCGACAAACTCAGCTCCATATTCTTGACGCGTTCCTCCAATTCTTGGACTCCGAGATTATCAGCAATTGCTTTCTTCCTCTCCAAGGAAACCTCCTCAAGCTTTGTCTTTAACCAATCCAGCTTAAATCCCGCTTCTATTAGCTCGCTCAACTCGCTGTCAATGTTGCTTAGCTCAGACTCAGAAAAGCTAAGTGGAGGCCTGCACAATGTCTCGATGAGGCTGAGGACAATATTCATGTATGCTGTCTTCAGACCTTTGCCATTTAGTTTGAAATCATTTGCAATGTCTGGGTGTTTCATGAAAAGCTGGCTGACAGAAAAAACCTGCCAACAACAACAACATCCGGTTATCCAGAAAGAAAGAAAGAAAGAAACAAGATAGAAAAAGAAACCCTAATCATACCTGACTTGAAGGAACCTCAAAACCTTCGATTTCAAACATCTCCTTGCCAGTTACATATCTTTCTTCACCTGCTTTAACTTCAACTTTAATGATCAGTTTGTTATTCTCTAGATGTCCTTCCTCTTTAAGCTTGCTAAGAGGCAGAGTCCTATTACCCCAAGCTAGGATTTTATCGCAGATCGAACAAGCTTGATATTTCTGTAAGACAAACAAATATGTATATATATTATCATGTATAAATTATTGCTCCGCCTAAGATAAATAGAAGATACGATCATATCATTACCAGCTGCTCTGTAGAGCACTTTTCCCGATTGATTCAACAAAAGGAAGCGATAACTAGCTCGCGTTCTCCATCCAGTTATAAGCGATTTAGAATTGTGAACGCAGAGGTACAAACGCAAGTCATCTTCGTTTTCCTTGGGATCAACTAGAACATACCTAAGAAAATATTTAAATTAAAAACCCTTTTGAGTGCTAAATGATCTAATATAGATTCCGACCAAAAAAAAAAATGATCTAATATAGATTTACCATAATTATTCAATTTTTTGAAACTAAACATTGATTTTAATCGCTTACCATTCCCATCCACAGCTTAAGAACGTTGGAGACGCCATCGGCTTTTTCCTCTCGGAGAAGTTATTTATCTCAAACGTGAAAATCGTTTGCAACTCATAATTCCGTATATCTGTTTAAAACACTTTATTAGACATCTTCTAGAAGACAAACAAATTTCTCATAAAACTTTTTTGCTACTCTAAGACAAAAAAAAACAAAAAAGCAAACAAACAAAACTTATATCAAAAGAAATCAGAAGAACCAACGACTTACCCGAAGTGCTCTTCTGCATCTGATTCCCCATATCTTTATCAAAATTAAACGCTTTCTTAGGCTTTACTTCGTCAACCAAAAGACAAAGTTCTTGCAGATAATTTGTAAGAAGAATTTTTGGGTGCTAGACGAAACCCTATTATACAAAGTTGGATACGTTCTGCTTAAATTAATGGAAAAAGTGGACACTTTAAACAAAAAAAATGGAAAGTCCCTCATAACTGTTTAGGCATATATTATTATTTCCATACACGTATTCTTTTCTTTTTGAAAGTTTACATATACATGACAGTATGTTACGTGATGATCATGGGAGTTGGTATCAGAGACAAGTTCCTATTCCTATGAGTTAAGTTTATCAGGATTAGCAGTATATATAATCAACATCACAAAAATACAAAAACTATATATATCATTCTAACCAAATTAAGAGTTAATTTTTGAAATAATAAAAGAAACACAGAAGTTGAAGTAAATGACATTATGTTAAGTTGATTGAGAAAGGAGTACTCCATAAATTTGTGTGGAGTACTTCATTTCTATATAAAGCTTAAAATTTGTGTGGTACTCCATAGAATTATTGTTTTGAAACCTATATACATTGATATCTATTACAATGGGTAACAATTTCAGTGGCAATATAGAACATCAAGATAATAGATTGAAAAGACCATGATTTGTATCCTAATGATTTATGCTAGTGTTGTCGATGCGTCCCCACTCGGATTCAAATCCGGATATTACACATATTTTGACCAAAAAATGGCAAGTTCTTTAGTAGAAATTTCTTCTTTTATACCAACAAAGTCCAAATTAAAACTTCGTCTCTAATACAATGCCTATAACCAGCAAAAAGAAAGAACAAAAAGATATGGAAACATAACCCTCCTTTCTTTTCTAGAAAGGAGATTTGCTTCATATATATATACTTTACAACTGCAACAAGATACAAATACAAACCAAAGGACTTAGCCTACCACTTAGATGCAAGCCCGGCCTTTAACAGTGACACATACAAGAGCTGGTTCCATGTGTCTGGAATACCCGGTAAGCACCAATGGCTACAATCTTGGTGACTCACGGCCTCTCTTTTCTCCTTTTCGGTCCTGTACACCATTCTATATATCGACGGGTGACCATCTTTTCTGAAATCCGTTAGTCGACTTATGTTCATATATATCACCGGAGTTTTCATTGTATCACGGAGAATATACTCGAGAGCTTTCATTTTCGAAGGATACTTTGCTAAGTACCTCGTGTTGAAAATCGGTTCTGTTTCTTTGTGGCATTGTCCACCTGAGTTCCAAGGCCCTCCTCTGTATAAGAGCACCGGCTCAATATCGTCTATACCGAATTTGTATATGAAAAGCATTAGGAATTACCTGAAATGTGTAACGGAATAACCTCTAAATACTACATGGGTTTGACTGCGGTCGATGTTCTTATCGACCCATTTCGCCCAAGTAATGAGAGCTCGTTTATAAGCTTCGAGAACCTTGAGCCTCGGGTACACAACGTTACCTTCTTGGTAATAGTTCTCTCTGCAAAAAACATCAAAATCATTGTTAAGTAAAACACAACGAGGTCTTCTCGTTCAGGTTCTCTGTTTCCGACTCATACCCTAGCTTCGTTTTGTCATGAGTCCACCAATGACCGGTGTTGAAAATCAGTATATCAGCATCTCGATACATGGATGTCGTCTTGTCCATCATATCCAGCCTTAAAGTCTCCAATGTAGTCCCATTCACGTCTTTGAAACTTGATTCCCTTACAAAAAAGGGCGAGCCAACGAAATCCACCGTGCAATTATAGTCCTGCAAGAACAAGTAAAAGATCCCAAAAACATCAAGCAAACATGCATTATCACAGCTTTTAGAATGGTACTACACATTCCGCAAGAAAATCGGTATCTCACCTCGAATCTGAAAGCGTAAAACCCTTTCTTCTTGAACTCTCTTCTACCAGAAATCTCATACACTCGTTTCTTGTCCTTGAGACTATGTCTAAGAATGCAAACAAGAGACTCCCACATGTTCCGGTTTATCGAATCTCCCACGAAAACCAACTTCTTCCCTCTTAACTTGTCCAGAAAATCAGTTCCATTCAACCTTTATATTCCAACACAGAGATAACATTGTACTACTTATCAGACAAAAACCCTAATTTCAAAACTCAGTTCACTAAAACCTCAATCAAAATCGTGTTACATACTCAAAACCTAACTTCATCAAGAACACCAAGGATCATTACCTGGGAATGTCACACCCATTTGGTTGCCATCTCCATTTAGCATAAGCATCATCAGGTCTTCCATTAGCGTGACAGTTGAAATCTCTGTCTATATACGGACACGAACCAGATGGGTAATACGGCATTGTCTCATCATCAGCTCTAACCCAACTTCCATCGTAGATATCACAATCAGACGCCAAGCTCGAGCTATTCCCCACACTTGTTGTAGCATTTACTTCGAGGGTATTTTTGTCATCTGCAACTGAGACTTTACCCTCTTCAGGCAAACTCGAGTTCTTAACTACTTCTCCAGATCTTTGTCCGGAATCAAAGTTTGAAACTTTACCCTCTTCAGACAAAGTTGTGTTCTTTGAACCAGCGTCTACTGTTGTTCCAGATCTATGTTCGGCATCAAAGCTTGGAACTTTGACACCTGGGACCTTGTCGGTGAGATTTACTACTTCAGGCTTCTCGTTCACTTGCTTAACAGAAGACGAAGTGTTAAGATTGGAGCTTTTGAGACCTTGAAGCAGAGGAGAGACGAAAGGGACATTGAAGGAGGAACTAGTAAAGGAGAGAAGTGTAAGGAGAAGGAAAGAAGCAGCGATTCCTAAACCGAATCTGGTTAAGATGTTTCTTCTAGAAGACAAAATTTGGTCTGGAAACAGAACTTTCTTAGACGAATCCATCTTCTTGGTTAGTCCAAATGCAAATTAGAGTAGACAAAACATGGAGACTTGAGTTTTGAGATTTTGAAAAAATTAACAAAAATGGTAAGTTCTGGTTTCTGAGTAAATGTAAAAGAGAGGGAGAGTTTTGAGATTTTGATTTCGATGAGACTTGAGTTTGGGGGAATAAGCGGTTTCTCTCGAAGATAACGATTTCAGTTTTAAACCACCATTCATGTTTGTCAAAAGTTAAATTCCTAATGAAGTGTTTTTTATTATTATTAATGACGTTGGTAATGACTAAAATGAATGTTTTATCTTTTTTATTCTTGTCAATACAGTATTTGTAAATACTACTCCCTCCGTTTCAAAATATAAGCCGTTTTAACTAAAAGCACGCCGATTAAGAAGATCTACTTTTTAAAAGTTCAGCCAATCATAAAAGATACTGCATAATAAAAATAATCATAAAATATTAAAGTAATATATAATTTGCATAGAAACTTGAAAACGATTTATATTTTGAAACAAAAAAGTTTTTCCAAAACACCTTATATTTTGAAACGGAGGGAGTAATTCCGAAATGTAGATTAATAATGAGTCCCAAAACATTATCATTGAATCTAAAATCTCAGTGAGAGGAAAAAGCTAACAATTATTCGGTCAAAGCTTGAAAGTAATTATGGAAGTGCTCATTATTCAGTCATTTCTATAATTTTAGATAATTAAGGTTATTAGAAAGTTAATGAGATCGTGGTAATGACCAAGAAATACGGCAGAGTTCCGCGGGATGAATCTAAGACACGTGGCATAAGAACGACTCACGAGACTTTGGAAGACTTTGGACCGACATCATTCTTCTCGTTAATTGCGATTGCTTATAGCCGCGGGCGTGATCTGACGGTATCATGTGTGGTCTGAATATGCAAGTGCACGCTTCTGTCGTTTCAGCGGAATAGTGTCCACGTATACGACTCTACTTGGCCCATTACTCGTTGATTTATTTAAAGACCATCGTAATTCCTATGTTCGGTGCTTTCGTCTGCATTTTAAACCGAAATGTCTTGGAATCTTTTATTTTCCGGTTTAGTCGGTTCGTGTTTCTCGAATTTCGGAATTTCCGGTTTTAGACTGTGTCAGAATTTCGATTCAGTTTGTTTTGAGTTTACATCTGTTTGATTTTTTGTCCTCCAAATTTTCTTACCAATGTGGCAGGCTAATCAACATTTTCTTTCGCATTTAGTATTTTTTTACATAAAAAATTACACTCAACTTCACATCTATATCAACATTATAAAAAGACAAACAAAAAACAAACACAATAAAAGAAAAATGAAAAAAAAGGAGTGAATCATAATCATCGTGGACCCGAGAGCTCAATGGCTTCTACTACAAGAGACGATTCCTGGATATAATCGGAGTAATACCTTACACGTGGTGATGAACTCACCATCCCTGGTGGCAATGGCGGTGGCTGATGCTCTGCAGTACCGTTCTGCGTCGCTTCCCATCTCTCAGCTAAGCCGTCACCTTCAAGCATTTTCATAACTTCTGACATTTTAGGTCGATGAGAAGGATTGAATTGAGTGCAGAGAAGCGCAACTTGAACGATTTCTTCGAGTTCTACTCTATCGAACTTGTCATTTAGATCTTTGTCTATTAACTGCTTTAGTTTCCCTTCTTGATGCAGCTTCTTCACCTGCCATTTTTAACACTCATTTCTCAGACCAATAAACCAAACCGATTCCAGACCAAGCACAAAAACAGAACCAAACCGTATACAAAATAATGGTTTAGTCTTCAAACTATACCGAATTCAATCAAAGATAAACAAAACCAAACTGAACCAAAATTTAGCCAAAATCATGGCTAATTTTTAGGTTGAGTTTTCTATCAAACAAGACTGAACCGAACCAAACCAAACCAGAATTATGACCAATACCTTCAAGATTCTAGAAAGTGAAACAAGAAACAAAGAAAAGAGACTTACCCAGTCAAGCATGACGCCTTTCTGGTGAGCGGATCGGCCAAAATCAAGTGCTTTCTGACCAGTGATGAGCTCAAGGAGAAGTATACCAAAGCCAAAGACATCAGTCTTCTCAGACGACTGACCCGTGGATAAGTACTCAGGAGCAATGTGGCCAACGGTTCCACGGACCGCAGTTGTGACGTGAGAGTCTCTATGGTCTAGAAGCTTAGCTAACCCGAAATCACCAACAACTGCCTCAAAGTCCTCATCCAATAAAATGTTAGCTGCTTTCACATCGCGGTGTATGATCTTTGGGTCACATTGCTCGTGTAGGTATACTAGTCCTCTAGCTGTCCCAACTGCTATCTTCTTCCTTCTCGACCAGTCTAATGCTGGCTCTCCCCGGATATTGTCTAAACAAAAATTGCAGCAAAATTGAACTATTAAAGACTTGCAAAAGACCACGAAGAAATTAACAAATTTGGTTTTGGAAACTGCAATACCTTTCAAGCGTGATGCGACGCTCCCATTTGGCATGTAAGGGTAGACTAAGATTCTCTCCTGGTTGCTACTACAGAAACCACGGAGCCTGAGGAGATTTCGATGAAGAGCCAAACTTATAGTCTCTACTTCTGTCTGGAACTGGACTTCTCCGCCCGCAATGTTACAGTCCTTGAGACGTTTGACAGCTACCAAAGTTCCATCGCTTAAGTGTCCTTTGTACACAATCCCGTATCCGCCTCTTCCGAGAATGTTTTTCGAGTTGAAATGATTGGTCGCAGATCTAAGCTCTTTGAAAGTATACCTCTTCAAATGCCCTAAACTCACTTCTGGATCATATTGTTCTGCAGAATATTCATCATCAAGATGGCACTGTCAGTTTTGCTCTGCACAAAATGATGCCAAGCAAGTAATTTTTCAAGATACTAACCATTAACGTCAAAAAATATTTGCTTGTTACGCCGATATCTCCACCAAAGAAACATTCCGCTTGTAAAGAAAACAAAAAATGCTGCACTGAAGCTTGCAGCGAATGCAAGAGCTACGTGATGGCCATTGGTACGAGTTCCTGATTCATCTAAAACAAAAAAGAACCAAAGATGGAAGTGATAAGGTACATTGACGCAGAAGAAGAATAGGGAGCTACGAGAAGCAGACGCCTAATACCTGGTGGACCATCTTGTGGAAGCGTGAGAGGCTCGGGAAAGACAGCAGAGCAGTTTGAAACAGCTTTTGGGCCACAGATCAATGCATTACCAATTACCCTTCAGTCCAAGAAACAAAACAAATACGATGGTGAATCTTTGTTTCACTTCAATGGATAGTTAAGCTCTTGGATCATTCTAGTAAAACTTACTTGAAAGTTCTGGCAGAAACTTTTGGCAGTGAACCGCTAAGATTGTTATACGAAATGTCGCTGCACATCAAGAATCAATAACAAATAAGTTCGTAATTATTCTCCCAATGTATTGTGAACAACAGAACAAAAAGCAGAGTTTTGAGACATACACTAGAGTGAGTCCCTCAATCTTGGATAGAGACGCAGGGCAAGTTCCTAAAAGACTGTTATTGTTTAACCGTCTGAAAATGCAAATGACAAAAACGGAACAACAAAACACTGAGAATTGAATTGGAATTTTATAAACATGCAACAAAAGAATCATTGCGAAACCCTAAAGGAGCACTCACAAGTAATTCAAGTTCTTGAGTTCTCCAAGTGAGGCTGGTATCTCCCCGGTGAATGAATTGTTTGAAAGATCAAGTGTCTGAAGCTTCTCCAACCTCCCAATCGTTTCGGGAATTGGACCAGTGATTGCATTGTTTTGCAACAACCTATACCACAAAACATTAAGCTCAACAAGAAGCAAAACTAAAGAACAAGAATCAAACATAGAAAAAACTACAAAAACTTACACAGATTCTAGATAGGTGAGGTTTCCGATTCTAGGAGACAATGTACCAGACAAGCTTTGGCTAGGAAGTACCCTGTTTCATCAAGAAAACAAGACAAGTCTCAGAGATCTACCAGGTCTTTTTGTCTTGTGTAATAGAGAGAGAGAGAGAGAGAAGAGAAGACTTACAATCCAGAGACATAGCCATCAGTGCAAGTAACCATTCTCCAGCTACAAGGATCAACTGAATTCACATCCCAATTCTCAAGAACATTGTACGGATCATTCAATTCATTCTTCACAGCCACTAAAGCCGTCACTACTCATTTCAGACAAACAAAAAGAAAGAAACTTCAGTTTGATAGAACAAATCTAAGCCTCAAAACTCCTATCAATTCTCTTATCCCAAAGCTAAAGTTTTTCGAAACTTCAGTTTGATACTAATCTTATATGCAGTATCTGCAGGACAGTTCCACAGAGAATGAAGTAAAAGTTGAGCTGGTATTGGCTAAGGTTTTAGATATGAGTCTGGTGAGCATTTAAAGCTGTGATATTTATTATCCAATAAAGAAACAAAAAAAGAACCTAATCCACAGAAACATTCAGCTGAATTTTCGGAACAACTAAGAAAAATAGACAAAACAAAGATGATAAAAATTCATAGAGAAAATTCCAATCTGGAATCTATGTGTTTAAGCAAAGGGAAAAAAAATACATTTTTCTTTTTTAAAATTAGAGATTTCTCCAAGAAGAAGACTAACCTTCATAGTTTACACCAGTAGGAGAAAGTGTAGCAGTAGAGACATCAAGCAACCATACCAAAACCAGAAACCCTAATCTTACACTTTCCATAGCCATATCCCTTCTTAAAGCAATCATCTTTGGTCTGAAAAAACAAGTTTTAGGAAACCCACCAACTCATTTTTCTCTCTCCCATATCTTAAAAAACCTTAGCCTTTGTCTATTTTCTTCTTCTCTGTCTTTATTCAGACAAAAAAAAACACTTTGAGCAATCTCTTTCCAGCAATGGAACGTCTCTTTTCTATCTGATTTCAATTCGAATCAAATTCTTGACTGGAGTAAAAGAAGATGACCCAAATTGAAAAATGACGACTTGCAAGACACTCAGCTTAGAAAGAGAGAATTTTTGACTGAAGCATTAAGAGAATGAGTGCTAAACGAGCAGTGACAAGAGATAGAGAAGAGAGAGAGAGAGAAAACTATAAAAGTGTGAAGAGAATTTTTCCCGAGAAACCAAGCAAACAAAAGCACCAAAATGCTCTGAAAGTCTGAGAAAATTTTCTAGAGATCTGAGAAAAAAAAGAATGCAACAAAAAAAGCTATTGAGTGATACTAATGGCTCTTGGTTTTTATTTTAATCATTTGGTAGTGTAATTATTGAATAACTAATCTCTATGACATTCTTAATTTTTTCAAAAAGGTTTGCTTCTAATTCCACACCACTATTACCAAATCATCTAATCTCTCATCTGCCTACTCTTCTCATTCACACCACCAATATAAAAAAAGGAATTAAAAATAATAATCAACAAAAGAAAGGGACCAAACAAGCAAAATCCAAAATGAAAATGCCAAAAAATCCACAAACACACACAGAAAGATACTGACAGAATAACAAGAAAAGAAGAGACTCTCTGTTTTTCTCACTTTTTTTAAGTTTTTGTTAAGCTTTTTTAAAAAATTTGTTACTGTAAGGAAAAAAAATAGTATGTTTTCATGATTTCAGTTTGAATTCTTTTTCTTTTTTACTTTCGGACAGATATTTCAAGAAAACACTTTAATATACAAAAATGTGATTAGATTGAAGAGATGGGTCGTAGAGAAAGATAAAAGAACAAGGACATCTCTCATTCTCTCTCTTTGTTTTTCTTCTTCGAAAAAGTTACAGAGCAAAAAAAAAGTCCTTTTTGTTGGGCAGATCACGTTCATGGCCTGTCTCCTATCTTGTTGGCTTTTTCGGGCTTCAATTATTTTATCCCTTTTTGAGTTTTTCGTTACAAAAAGAATTATCATTTTTACTACACAATTTTTAAAGAGGAAAAATGTCTTTTTATCTCCCAACTTTCAAAAAGTGGTCAATCAATACGTCAACTTCATATGTGGCCATTTAAAACATGAAATAAACGTTGACTAACGTTTGAGACATGGAAATTCGTTGACCAGGCCAAAATAGACATGCCGTTATCAGTCGTTAACGGAACTTCTAACGCCCGTTATCACCCGTAACGACTCTGTTAATCAACTTTCAAATTGTGGCCATTTTAAACATCAACTTCATATGTAGCCATTCAAAACATGAACTAATCGTTGACTAACATTTGAAACATTAGAATTCGTTGACCAGGCCAAAGTAGACATGTCGTCATCATTCGTTAACTGAACCTATAACATCCGTTATCACCCGTTAACGACACTGTTAGTATGTCCAAAAAGATTTTTCCCAAATGAAAACACTAAATCCCCAAATCTATTTCTACAACAGCTCAAACAAGATGAATAGTCTTATTATCTCTATCTCCATTTCAGAAAAGCTATATTTAGTCTAGGCCTGGACATAATACCCGAACTCGAAGAACCGAACCGAACCCGACCCGAAAAATCTGACCCGAACCCGAACCCGAAGTTTTAAAATACCCGAACGGATTCTAAACTTGACAACCCGAAAACCCGAACCCGACCCGAACTCGAACCCGAACAAGTACCCGAACATACCCAAAATATAAGTACATAGTTATAATATATTAGTAATATTTATACTTGTAATAACCTAAGTGCCAAAATTATTCGGATGTTAAGATATTTTCGGGTGTTTTAGCTACTTTGGGTTAGATTCGGGTTAAAATACTTGGGTTTTATAGATTTTTTGATTATTTTTCAATACTTTGCATAGGATCGGATACAAAATTTCTAATATTTGGATACTTTGGGTAAACCTGAATCCGAACCCGAAATACCCGATCCGAACCCGACCCGAACCCGAAGTTTTAAAATACCCGAATGGATCTTAGTTTTCTAAACCCGAAAAACCCAAACCCAAAAAACCCAACCCGAACCCGACCCGAATATCCGAACGCCCATGCCTATTTTAGTCCTATGATGGGTCTACAAATTTGCTTCCATGATTCCTTTTTAGATTTAAAACAAATATATAAACGATGTTTGCTTCCAATTACTGCCTCTACGATTGTCTATATATCAAACCATGTCCTGGATTATGCTTTAAACAAAAAATTTGTCCTGATTTTCTCTTGATTATTTTCAAAACGACGTCGTTTTGGATATACTAACAGAGTCGTTAACGGGTGATAACGGATGTTATAGGTTTTTTTAACGAATGATGACGACATGTCTATTTTGGCCTGGTCAACAAATTCTCATGTTTCAAATGTTAGTCAACGATTAGTTCATGTTTTAAATGGCCACATATAAAGTTGATGTTTAAAATGGCCACAATTTGAAAGTTGATTAACAGAGTCGTTACGGGTGATAACGGGCGTTAGAAGTTCCGTTAACGACTGATAACGGCATGTCTATTTTGGCCTGGTCAACGAATTTCCATGTCTCAAACGTTAGTCAACGTTTATTTCATGTTTTAAATGGCCACATATGAAGTTGACGTATTGATTGGCCACTTTTTGAAAATTGGGAGATAAAACGACATTTTTCCCATTTTTAAAGGATTACACTTTCTTTTACTGTAGATTTTTTTTTTTTGAACCGAATGTAAATTAACTCACATTTCGCGCAACTTTTCTTTAAAACTTTAGGAGAAATTTAAAGGTTAGAGTAACCAGAGAACTTAGAGCATGATTATTGGTAGTATCTTAAAAATATCTCTTAACAATATTTAAGTAATATATTTGTAAAAGTGATTGTTAAGAGATAGTATTTTTGAGTTAAGATTTTTGTGTGATTAATGGTATGCTTTTAACATGTGGTTCTTAGAAAAAAAAAATTAATATAAAAACAAAATTTATAATTATAGAAAATTTAATAATTGTTGCAAATTGAAAAAATTAAAACATACATGAGATACAATTTATAACATAAAGCACAAATGTTTTAAACTTAATTTCTAGAATATTTTGTCCATATATGCTCGACCAAATCATTATTCAATTGTTATTGTTGATGCATACCTCAAAACATAATCAATTTGTCGGATCAAGATTTGGATTAGGAAAAAAGTCTCTTTCATATATAACCAACAAGACATTAAAAGAGGATCACAGTGAAGAAAACTAAAAAGATTCACACCATACAATATCAACGCTTCAACTACCTAATGGCACAACAAAAACCGTTACAAACACAACATGTGACAGCAAAAAAAGCACTCATGGGCGACAAAACTCGAAGACCGATTTGAGGATGTCTATAGCAAGAAAAAGAAGAAGAGAAGATATGTGTGGATATGGCCTATGGTTAGGCAAAGATTCTATTTACAAGTTTCTATTCCTTAGCTATGGCTCTACGGCAATAAGGACAATCTCCACAAGCTCTAAGCCAAGGGTTTAAGCAAGAAGAATGGAAACTATGGGTACATGGTAAGGATATAAGCATGTCGCCTTTTGTGAAACTCTCTAAACATATGCTACAATCTTTCATCTCGGTATTAACCTCGGCTGAGCTAAAAGTTTGTCGGTGTAAACAGTTAATAGCATCTTGAGTAAGACCTTGTGGTTTCTTGTTGCATTCATAGGTCACTTGAAGCCCTTCTAGTTGAAAAATTGGATCTCCATTTATAGAATGAAATGAAGACTCCCTTTGATCATCTCCCAATGAAACTCTGTTGCTTCGACTGAATCAAGGAACAAAGTTGAAACTATACAAATTCAGCACCCAAAACTGTGAAAAGAATCCAAAGAAAGATCTTTAAGGAAATAACACTAAGTAACAAAATCTTTCTTCTTGTTGAAACTCCTTAAGGAATCCACAAAAACTGATTTTTATGCTAAAATCTTTACCAATTCTAACAAGAATCAAGAGCAATTCGAAACCAGAACCGTGATCAGACAAAACAAAGCAACGCACAAACCAAGTAAAGCTGTAAATTAGTTCAGTGGGTTAAGCACAGACCTGTTACTAGACAAAGAAACACCTCTCAGTCTCTCGAAAAGTCTAGCCCTTGCGAGCAGAACAGCTCCAGGAAGCCTCTCGGATCCATTTAGGTTAACAAAGCTGCTACTTTGAGTATCAATATCAGTACTGTCCGTATTCAAATACTGACCAGTGCCTTGAACATCACGAATAGGTCTACTACGTTCCTGAATTGGTAAATTAGGCGAGATTTTAATAAAAATGGACCAAATTCAGAAAATTACGCTTTGGGGAAAGAAAATAACTAGAAGGTGACAGAAGCGTCGGAGACGGGGAGTGGGTCGCCGGAGGGGATCACAGCCGTCGGAATCATGACGTTGATTATGATGATTGACGCCGTGACGGCGATGATGATGATGGTGTGAGTAGTGTCGATAAGAAGAAGAGTCGGATTCTAAATCCGGGTCGGATCGACCCGGACGTGATCTTCGTGTAATTTAAAAGATGCAATCAAATATTCCTCTGATTCAAGTTGAAATTCGCAAATCACCTTTGGTTTCTTCTCTGTCGCAAATCGCGATTTCAGTGAGAGATAGAAATATTAAAAATAACACTCAATAATCACGTCTTATATATTAAAAATAACACCAAATAATCACGTGCCACGTGGCACCTCTTAAGACAGAAAATGTGTCTTAACTAAGAAACGTTCCTTAGTTATAATAACCAATTCTAATTTAAATTAAATCACATTAACACCTAAGATTTTCTTAAGCCACTCCCGATAATCCTGCTCTTAGTTATCTTGAAGAAAACTACACGAAAATGTTAAGTAGATATGAATATATGATATTGAATAATACAAATTTTATTTCACTTGGGATGGCTAAATAAGATATTGGCAATCTCCTTGGATGACCAAGTCAGGCCCAGCTCAATGAAAAATATCCATAGCTGTCACTAAAAATGGGCCCTGGTTAATAGAAAATGGACCATGGTCAAGTGTAAAAATGGTCCAAATTTTGAATAGCCATGTCTAAAAATAGACATGTTTATGACTATCGATATCCATTTAAGCAAATTGCTTGCATCGCCTGTAAAAGGCTTTAAATGCTTCCGATTCCATATCGTTTTCTTTTAAAAAAATCGATTAGAGTTCTGGACCTTTGGCCAATAATCTCCTTTAGTACTCAGAGTTACCATGTCCTTATTTTCTAGTAGCATTCTTTGAGTTGCTAGATAAAAAGATAAACAAATTTGTTTTCTTATAATCCAATTATGGTATAATCCACTTCAGTAATTTTTATCGTAGTTACTTTTGACAATTCTTTCATTTGACGGTTTTCATCTATACCGTTTGTTTTTTACTATAGTTTTCTTATCGGTATTTAATGTGTTCAATCATTTGATTATATGCTCATCAACCGAAATTTGTGTTCATTTTCTAAATATCCTCACATGTTTTCCTAGTTTGCTCTTTTGGTGAATGATGATTCGGTTAAATCTTATCATTGAGTGACTTCTAGTGTCTACATGTTCAATTAACATCGTTTTGACGCCAACTGATGTTATGATAAATAATTCAGGTGAGTTAGTAGTACAGATTAAATAGCCAAACTAAATAAATAGATCAGACGGAATAATTTTTTTTTAATTTATTTATTTATAGAACAAAATATACATTATGAATTTATGATGCATATGCAGATTAACTATTATATAAAACACATATAGCATCAAGGGTGTTCTTTTCGAAAAAGGAAATGAATAAAATATTACTCCTTCTGTTTTACGAAAAATGTCATTCTAGAATTTGATTTTTGTTTCACAAAGAGTGTTATTCTACATTTTCAATGTGATTTTTACACATAATTTTCTGATTTACCCTTAACTTAAAGCTATTTTTCATTGAATTTAAATCATTAATCACTTATTAAATAGGGGTATATATTTATAATTTAATATTTTCTTAATTTGTGTGAAATGTGTCAAAATAACATTCTCTATGAAACAGAGGGAGTATATTTAAAAAAAAAACACATATAGCATGTTAATTACTGTTGATACCAATACCATCCATTGTACGACACTATTCCTGTGAATGGTGGTAGCACTGAGATTATATGCAATGCTAAATTTATTCAACACCTTCCTTTTTCATTTTTAAACATTCCACTTCATCTTCTCTCTTCCACCTAATAATTCAACATCTATTTAATTTGTAACATTTTCAATGGTTTATTTAATAAATAGAATTATAGTGAAATAAACTTTTATTTTTCAATTCCAAATCAAATGAAACAAGTATCTATTTATAGAGAAAAAAATATGATGAATTTTGATATAAAAAATATAAATAAATAAATTAGTTTAATATATAATAATTGATGTTAAATAGTTAGGGTGAGATTGAAATTTTCAATATCCAATAAAAAAGAACATGTGTCATTTTTGGTCCCATATTTTTGGTTTCAACATATGTTGAATACTTTCAACTGAGTTGAATCCACGTCAGTTTTTTTTCATTTTCAACACCTTCATTGCACATAGTCTGATAGGTTGAGCAAGAAAATATCTCTCTGCGTTCCTCTCGACATTCAGCCGCCGCCGAGAAAAAAATTTTAGATCCGAGGCTAGATCGCGTTGGCTTCCATAGCAACGGATCTGGCCTCCCTCTGCTCTGTTTTAGTTTCGTTTTTGTTCTCTTTTTCGTTTCGTTGGGTTTGTATTTAGAGGTTCGTAAAGGCAAGTTGAGTTCTTGGTTGCTGTGGTTCGATTTCGGCGGAGCTTTTAGCCGGTGGAAGGGGTGAGTGGTGTTTTGGATTGGTGGTTTCTTCTCCTTGTTGTGGCATGGCCTTCGATTTTGGTCTCTTCTCAAATCATGATTTTTCGAGAAGGAAATCGGTTCTTGTGGAGGAGATAGCGTCGGGTTTCGAGGTGATGTTTAAGGAGAGGCATGGTTCTCGGATCTGTTAGTGGTGGCGGAGGTTTTGTGTCTCGGTAGTGGAGGTCTCTTCGTTGTGGGGTTTCTCTCCGGTGGTTTTTGGGTGGTGGCTAAGCTTCTCCGGTTTTTGGCTGCTGGTGGTCAGTTTTCTCTTTGTCTTTGTTTATTTTGGTTTGTTTGCATTGATTTCGTCCTGCGTTTGGTGATTTTTCTAGTTTGTTGCGAGTGTATTCTGGGGTCTTGCTGTTACGGTTGTAGCGGCGTTTTTTGGGTATATGTTTTAGCGAAACGTTTGGTTCCGGATCTGTAGGATCTACGGTGCTGCTCTGTGAATTATGCCATTGCTTTACTGGATCTGTTCCTTATTCATTGTCGCTTTTGTGCTTACTGTCTCCAAGCCGTTTATGTTGAGTGGTGTCTAGGCTTTAGCCAGGTTCAGTCCAGCCTTTGCTCTTCTTTCCGTTTCCGGTCTCCTCATCTCAACCTATGAATCACTTTGGGTTTGTCTCCTTGCTAAGAAGAAGTTCAGTTTTGTTTGGTTGGATCAATAGACCTCTAAGTTTTCAGTTCTTTCTTCTCCCTGATGTTGTTCGTTGCGGTTGTTAGCTGGCTCGGTTTTCGAGTGGTTGGGCCTTTCTCCTTGTCTTTGCTTTCCTGATCTGATGTGATAGGATCGCCTTTTGAAGGTTTCTAGTTAGACGCTAGTGGACGCAGCAGTCGTCAGCAGTCGTATTCGGAAGTGTGCTCGAGGTTCCCTTAACTCTTTTGTCTCGCTTGCCGGGTTATGAAGTCTTGGTTCTTGGTTTCGAGAGATCAGCTCTCATCGTGATAGGAGGAGGTAGATGTTATTTTCGGGTTGGCCGCGGGCATCCTTGGTAAGTCTCAATCGCAAGTGCTTCAGAAGTTTTGGGTTACTTGTTTTCTTGGGTCTATTGTTTCTTTTAAGGTTTATGCCTTCGGCTTTTTTCTTAGTTTTTGGTTTCGACCTCTTGCGTTTGTGGTTTGAAATCTTTTGCTTTTCTATGTTTAGTTTCCCTTCGTTAGGGCCTAGTTTTCGGGGAAATCTCGTCTTCCGCCGGCTTTGTCTCCGGGGACTTTCATGTTGTCCGCCGGCTTTAGTTTCCCTCTTTTGGGCTTTGTATTTCACCTTGGTTCCATTACAAGATCAATAATAAAATTCTAGATGACAAAAAAAAAAAGTCTGATAGGTTGAGAAACGCTATGTGGTTACGGTATTTGGGCAAGTGAACAAATCGTCCTTGATTGTTTCCAGAATTTGACAATACGTTCGGCAAATCAAATCGATCGCCTTTTAAGAGCTCTCTTTATATACTTTAAAATTATCTTTTACCATTCTAGGTTTATCTGCGAATTTTCATAAGATAAGTTATAGTTGACGTGAAATTCTAGCCAATACTTTGAAGTTTTAACTTTGAAATTCTCTTTTATATTATAAAACACAAGTCACTTCACAAATTAGATTTTGCCACAAGTAATTTTTAAAATAATATAATTTTAATCAAAATTAAACAAAATAAGTAAATCAATTGTGGACAAAAAGAAAAACAAAATAATTGTGGCATCGTGTCTCACCCATCCCACGAGTCCATGATCTATCTTCCTCGCCACGATCTCTCTTCAAAAAAAATTATGATACTCATATAAATCTGCTTCCACATTTGTTCATCAAGTTAGTTAGAAATCAAATATCTCGCACTGCCCCATTTTAGATTTCTAGGTTATTTTTCTCCTCTTTAATTTTTTAATCATTTAGATTCTTCCGTTTTGCTGGCCACGTATGGCTGATCTTTTACTTCATCGTCGTCGTATTTCTTCTCATCAAATCGGATATGGAAGAAGAATTCTGAGTCGTTTTGTATCTTCGTAATTTTGTTCAGATATCTCGGAGGAGAGAAACAGATTCAACACGAAGAAATTTCTAGAAACGAGTGACAGAAATCAAGAAGCCAAAACACGAAGAAAAGATGAGACTTGCATCACCGTGAAACAAAAGAGGCTATGTTGATAGAGAAAGAAGAAAACCAAACTCAAATTTTGCTGAAAAATGGATTGGTTTTGTAAATTAACACATTGCTCTCCACATGTGTGTGTGGGATGTGTAGAAAGGAAAAGAGGAATTAATTGTTAGATTACCCACAACACAGATTAATTAATTTTTATTAAATATATATATATATTAGTTCTGAAGATTCAGTAAATCATATAAAGAGAAATTATCAATGCACACATGTACACTGATGTCCACCTACTGCATCTCTACAATCGCAATGAGGATAGTAATCATCTCGAATTTCGATTCTGCATTGTCCAGCCGACCGAAAAATATCAACATCACATGGATACCCCGGAATGAATTCAACAAGTACAGGCGCACGCTCTGCTGCCTCCACTATTTTATATCAACCACAAAAATATTAGATGGTGGATTAAAGGCCTTAGATAAAAAGAAATTGATAATGCAAAAAATTACAAGTTTTTTCACAACCATATTAAGAAAGTATAACCAACTGAAAATATATGTATATATATCTCACCTTTAGCATAATGCATCACGAAAAACATGAGAACACAAGAAACCACAAAGAAAGTAACAGATTTCATGATGCAAAAATTTGGTAAATGATTGTCTATATTTGTTTTCTGAATTTTTGTTGTTTATCTCGTACTGAATATTTTCTTATCAACACTGTTTATATATACATACAACATTAAAAAACTTTATCATACTAAATTAATAGGCAATAATTTTATATTTGGCCAAAATAATTAAATGCCCATTTTGAGAGTAAAAAAACATATATATCCTTAATTTATAACCTAAATAAGATAAACACATTTAGGTAATAAATCATATATTTGATGCATTCAAAGTCAACTAGATCTGGTATATATAAAGGTTTGGTTTTCTGCATCCATATCATCATCCTTAATAATAATAATTTGATTTTATTTGCAGATATAATTAAAAAATTTCTCTTGCTTTATATCATCATCTACATGTTAATAATAAATTGTTTTAAGAAATTATTTTAAAAAATAAAGAAATGATATGGCATATTTTGATTGGATATTTAGAGTGTAAATGGACTTTTTCTAATTAAGGTAAGATTAAAATAATTGGAATCTTAATGAAGTGTCAATAAAATTTATATATATAATTAGGGAGTTATCTCCATTATATAAAGGTTGTAATAATAATAATAAATGTAGAACTTACATTAATTATTTAGTGGACATGTGGTAGTTGCTGGAGTGATGATGTGACACTCATATGGAAAGAGTTGGCTAACTTTCATATATATGATTTTCGGTTAATTTGGATACTTTAATATAGTTTGAGTTTTTTTACCAGGTTTTCCGAGTAATTAATAATTATAATTCCAAAAATGTCAATTATTTTTAGATCAAAATAACTAAAATTTCCAAAATAACTGAAACCTATAGTTATATTTATCAAAAAAAAAATTTAAAAATTCAAATCTAACCAATTTGTTAAGATTTTTGGATATCCGAAACCGAATCAAAATAACTCGAACTAAACCCAAACACTCCGACTGTATAAAATATCTGAATGGATCCTAAAGATCTAGACCCGAACCAAACCCGAATGCCCAAACCTACATACATATGTATAAGTTATATACTACTTATAACTAATTTTACAAACGGTTGAGGTTCCCCCACTTTCTATCGATTTTCTCCAATTGAAAACCCTTAAAATCACTAATTCTAACCATGGATCCTCTAAATCTTCAAAGCTTTTCTTCTCCTCCTTCTAAGAACTCCAAAAACCTCTATCAAGTATTTCTCCTAATCCTAATTGATTCTCACCGTGAACTTCATGGACTTAAATCTCTCTTTTATTAGCTTCATGGACTTATGTTCTTTATTTCTTGTTGACTGCACGATTGTATGGATTATGGAATATGGATCTTATAACACAACTTGGTTTCTTTTTTTCTCAATGGTTGTGGTTACTTCGGGGTGAAAAATAACCTATCCAAACCCGACCCAAACATATTAAATACCTGAATAAGGCTAGAGGCCTAAACCCGAAAATACGAACTGAACCAGAACGGGTATCTGAATGAGGCCTTCATGTTAGATTCCACATAAACTGATCTAAGCAATTTGATTCGTCACTAATGTTTTCTCTCAGAAAGCTTCTCCACCGGGAAGAGGGTTCTGACTTTGACCATTGTCAACATAAGAGCATGAATATGTACGTATGAATTCATCTGTGCTTTACTATAATATTTCTTGTATAAAAGGAGTTCATCCACCATACATTGTTAAACAAACAACTTACAAAATGCAGCAAACAGTTCATTATTTTCTAGTAGCATTTTTGGAGTTGCTAGATAATAGATAAACAAATCTGTTTTCTTATAATCCAATTATGGTATAATCCACTTCTCAGTAACTCTTATCCTAGACTTTTGACAATTCTTTCATCTCACTTATCGTAGTTACTTTGACAATTCTTTCATCTGGAGGTTTTCATCCATACCGTTTGTTTGTTGAATATAGTTTCTTATGGCCATTTAATGTTCTCACTCATTTGATTATGCTCATCAACTGAAATTTGTTTTCATTTCTGAATATCATCACATGTTTTCCTAGTTTTCTCATATCATTGAATCACAACATTTTCATCCGGTTCTAGTTTGCGGTAAGAAGAGTCTTGTATATATTTTCATCCCTTTAATTTGCGTGTTTTTCTAATCTCAAATCTGTTTTATTTATCAAAGATTTAGGTTTTTGTATGTCTAATTTTGTGTCTTTAGAATATGAGTCCAGGAAATAATCGAATGAGTGTATTATTTTGTCTTGTTTTCTTTTGTTCACCTTAGTTTGATCTATGTCTCTGAAAGTTTTCATGTATTCGCTGGCTATGTCTCTGGAATGGTTGTATCCCTCATCGGCTCCTTATATTTCAACTTGAATTTCATCAATGAAAACCAAATTATTAGTGAAAAAAAAACACAAAAACTGGATTCCCTAGATTTTTTGGAAAACAAAATTTCAAAAAAAAAAAATATTGGGTAAAAATTGGTATTTTTATATTTGGTTAGTTGGTGGCATTTGGCATGGATAACAAGAGAAATTGAACAAAATTGAAAGTCCCTTATCTAAGCCTTCAATGGTTGTAGTTTTGGGTTTTTCATTTTTAAATTTTTGGATTTTGATTTTTTTTGGAAAAAATCATCATTAATATAATTTTTAGATTCTTTACTACAAATGAAAACATAACACAGAAATCGGATTCAAATACTCTATTGGTTAGTAAATAAATGGTTGCTTGAAAACAAAATCCAAATACTTTGTCAAATTGCAGCGTACAAACTAGTTCTCTTGCGTTTAGTCAAGTGGTTAAGTCCACTTGACTCCGCCTTCTCCACCGGAGTTCGATTCCACTAAATCGCGTTACCCCGCGTAGTCTAGCAACTCCAAAAACACCATTTTTGGATTGGCTATGGATCGGGACTTGTCGATCCAAAGATGTCAAAAAAAAATAGTTCTCTTGCGTTTGTGTTTTTTTTTTTTGTTATAATAGTCGCTACAGGATTGTGACGCAAGCGAAGACAAACAATCTAGGATTTAAAAATTCAGAAAAAGTTCTAGAAAGATTTAGAATAAAAAAGGGTATAGACTGGAGCCGAGTGGCCCCCAGTTCACTCTTTGTAGACTTCACACTCCTATCAAAGTGAAAGATGGACCTTTCTCTTTTTCTAAGTCAAGAAGATAAAGAGAATCAAAAGAGAAAATACTTTGTAAAAAAGAAGATACTTGTTTATTATTTATGAATAGTAAGAAACATTTAGAGGTGAAACATAATTCAAACACAGGTCCCAAACTCGAGAAACGCTAAGAGTATTTTGAAAGTAAGTGATAAGATTGTAAAGGCTTATGCAGCCGCAGTGATGTACTGGATTGCCTCCTTGCAAATACCTGTCATTGTTGCTTCAGGACCATACACCTTGAAATCAAACAGACATGTAAAAACATTTAGAAACGGGTTAAGCAGGAATGTGTTGTGTTTATTTATTGTGTTGCATATACCTCGATGGGGACACCGATTTCATCTCCGAGTGATCTCATTTTAGCAAGTCCCTTTTGGTAGTTTGGTCCTCCTCTCCTCACAAATATATGCATCCTTGCTGCTTTCAGCTTTGCTTCCTGTAAAAGGTTAAAGGAAAGCTCATTTATACTTATAGTCGAGGGCAATAAAAGGCTTGTGGATGACTCTACTCTCTTCTTGCTTACCTTTTCCTTGAGAGCTCGGATTATGCCATTGAAGGTAGCAGCAACATCGGTGAAGTTAGCAATTCCTCCTCCGATTACCAGAGCTCTACTTTTTCCATCCGGATTCGCTGTAGCACACTGAAGAATTGGGAAACATCGCAGTAGTCTATAGTCAGAAGAGCCATTATGATGGGTTGGTTCATATGTTTTAATGTGGAAGGAGAAACAAAAAAGCATTATACATCGATGACAACTCTCGCATACTGCAAAACCTCGTCTTCTTTGGGTGCTCCACTGTATTCAGCATAATTTCCAAGCTCAGATGCATACCCGAGATCTCCAACCTGGATATAACATTAGCACACTGTTTAGAGGCTAAGGCTTGCAAGGAGAAAAATGCATGAGATTCTCAGTGTTGATTAAGAAGATACAGATTTTTCATATAAAAACATACGGTATCGGCATAGATGACACTTGCACCTCCCCCAGCTACCATAGTCCAAATCCTTCCCTTGGGATTCAGAACAGTGAACTTCAAAGACGCACTTGTCTGCATATACAAAAGGGTCATAAGTCTTAGAGAAACGGGTGTTTCCTAAAGAGCCAAATTCTACTAAGATTGGTAATGATACCTTCTCATCTAGACCGTGGATGAAGCTTTCTGTTGAACTCATCACTCTTCCAAATGGCATAGGGAATTCAATGTCGCCCCACCTGCAAAATGTAAGAGGTTAATCATATCGCCTGAATACAGCAACAGGAAGGCTTATCATGCCTTGTTGAAGCTCTTGACTTGGAACAGATAAAAAAAGTGGAAGAGCCAAAACTTACTTCTTAAAGTTTTTGAAAGCAGCGGTGTCATCAAGCTCACCCCTCATATCTAGAGGATAAGGCTTTCCATCAACCAATGTGAAAGGATTCATCTCCAAGAAAGTGAAATCAAGATCTAGTGTCCAAGAAAGAAGAAGAGAATAAAAAAAGCTTCAGTTTTTTGTTCAGATTTCTTCATTTTGAATCTGCTTTAGATAAGTATGCAGAATTAGTGAACTTTTGGCATATACCTTCGAATAAAGTAAAAATGACTTGAATAAAATCTTCAAGTTCCCCTTTGATCTGTACGTGGAAAATTAGTAAGTCGAAATTGCAAGTAGTTTGTTTCATATGCAAAATTTCAGTTGTCATTGATATTCAGCTTAATATTACCTCTAGAGGAAGTGTTGCAACAAGAGGTGCACATATCTCAGGTGTCAGGGAAGCACCCGTCGGTATAGTTATGGTCTTGACCTATAGAAAGTGAACTCAATTTTGAGCTTTAGGGTGAGAATTTGACACTAGGATATCAATGAAAAAGCATCGAAAATACCTTGTCCCAGTTCTCCTCGATGTCAATTCCTCCACACTCCGAAAAGCTAATGCTGCAGCCAAGTCTAT